CCGCATGATTTCCAGAGCACCGCCAGGAATCATTCCTAAGTGTAGCACCAGGCGTAACTCTGAGCATCACCAGATATGGCCTCCAAAGGAAAAAAATATAGATAAAATGAATTAAAAAATAAAATTGGAAGTACATTCACCTCTCATGTTGACTCACCCACCAGCCCTCCTCTACTGATTCCCAACTAACTCCCCAGGGAGTTCCAGTTCATGAAAATACCTGAATTCCCTCAGCTGAAAATTCTAGGGTGCAAAAGGGAGCAATTGGGCCGAGCACCAGCCTTGTCAAAGCCCCAGCAGACACATCCACACCCACTACTGCAGCCATGCCAAGGGCTCAGTTCCACAGCTTCATGAATATTCTCTGCAGAGACACCAAACTGGTGGCGAGCCTAGAACTCTGGGTCTTCTCTAAGTCGAGGTGGGCAGTCCCCCCAGTACAGTTGCACCCACCTTCTCCAGCTGCCTTCATGTCAACCCATGGCCCAGACCATGTTGCCTGAAGTCACTGGATCAAGTGGTCTCCTAATCCCTCAATACTGAAATTCCATCAGGAGCACACCAATGCTGAAGGGGAAAGTGCCATAGAAGCCAACGGAATTCAACAAGCAAAAATAATAATACAAAAGGCTCAACTAGCAGCAGAAAGCTCAATAAATTATTAAACAAGGACATGACAATTGCGTGGTGAGATAAAACAATTTTCACATAAAAAGGAAAATTTTTATACTTATTGACTTTAATATTGGAGCCTTGTTATCTAATCAATTTTAACTCTAGGATTGCATCAAGAGCTGTGGCTTTTGTCTACACAAATATAATTTTTTTGTTTAAATAAAAAGTAAAATTGGTAGTAAAAAAATTTTTCGGTATAGCAGTATATTTGAGGAAACAGATTTAAGAGAATTTCATGGATTAAAATAAAGTGCAGAATTTACTGATACTTAAGAGAGGGGAAAATGATGCTCCTGGTTTGTGGTTGGAATAACAATAAATTGTGATGCTCTTCCTTCACAGGGGAGGCCTCGGGTAGTAACAGAGAGCATCTGAATTAAACTTTGGAAATACTGGGCCTAAGGATTGCTTTTGAGAGATTCTAGCATGACACCAAGGGTCAGAAAGACACCAGTATTAGATCTTAAAAGAGAGAGAAATAGGAACCCGGAAAACACTGAAATATAACCAGTAACTGAAACTGATGTAGGCAGGATAGGGAAGGCCCCCTCCCAAGGCAACGGCAAAAGCCGACCTTGCAGAAAACAGGAAAAGCGGGAACTAAGGCCTGATAAGACCTTGAGCAGCAAGGGACACTGATGAGACTGCACCCCTCCCCATGAAGAAAGTTCCTGGAATACCCTAACTTTAGTGATTAAGCCCAAAGAAGACCATCACTACTCCCAATATCCCCGGTAACCTCCTTAGCAATGAACTTTGACCTAGGTAGAAGCCCCACAAGGGGGCATGTTGGAGAAACCCTACAAGGTCACCTTGAACAAAGGAAGCACGTGCATATGCTGCCAGAGCCCATGAGCCCATGTGCTGCTTGCGCCCATGTGGCCGAGCACATGTGGTGTCTGAGCATCTGGGTCACTCGCATGTCCCCTCTTCTCTTCCCCCATCCCTCCACACCTTCAAAAACCCTCCAGATAAAATCTATTTATTTCACTCCTGAAATTCCTGTCTACTCCTGAAATTCCTTTCTGCGAGAGGAGACAAAAACCCAGTAACCCTGGATCCGGATGGCAGAGTCGGATGGGGAGAAAGTGACCATCTTTCTCCACGCTTCACATAAGGGCCACCAACATCAAAACTGTGAGTGTGGAAAGAAGTGTGGAAGGGAGCCGGAGTGCCAGGACAGCAGGGAGGGCTTGGCCTTGCACCTGGCAGACCCAGGTTCCATCCAGCACCACATACGTTCCCCACAAGCAGCGCCAAGTGTGACCCAAAAACCAAAAAGAAAAAAAAGTCATGAAGAATATTTACCAGATCAATAGGCCTGAGCCAGTCCAGGAAACTGATGAACAAAAGCAGCAAATTTATGCTATTAGACAGAAGCTAAGGTGGCCAAGTACTTAACGTTTCAATAAGTCAAGAATCAGATGTCAGAGAGAGAAGGAAAGAAATCAAGGGAGAAAGAAGTGAACAAGAATCAGTGGGCTTCCATGAGGCCAGAGATGTGAGGGGTAGCACCAGAGAGCTACACACAGGTTAGCCAGCATGAGCCTGTCAAGTGGCCAGGCAGGGGTGGGGTTCGGGCTGGGGAGGGAATACAAGAACTCTGCTGGAGGGGAATGCAGGCAGAAGGATTGGTGCTGAATTCTGTATGCCTAAAACACAACCATCAGTAACTTTATAAATCATGGCTCTATAATGAAAACTACAAAAAAATCTGTCACTGTCACTGCCCTCCCGTTTTTCGTAGATTTGCTTGAACAGGCCCAGTAATGTCTCCATTGTGACACTTGTTACTGTGTTTTGGCATATCGAATACGTCACGGGGAGCTTGCCAGGCTTTGCCGTGAGGTCGAGATACTCTCGGTAGCTTGCCTGGCTCTCCGAGAGGGGTGGAGGAATCGAACCCGGGTTGGCCCGGTTGGCCGCGTGCAAGGCAAACACCCTAGCTGCTGTGGGCATTTCCCTTGTACGCGACTGACCGGGCCAACCCGGGTTCGATTCCTCCGCCCCTCTCGGAGAGCCCGGCAAGCTACCGAGAGTATCTCGCCCGCAGGGCAGAGCCTGGCAAGCTACCCGTGATGTATTAGATGTGCCAAACACAGTAACAACAAAGTCTCCAATGGAGACGTTACTGGGCCCGCTCGAGCAAATCTACGAAAAACGGGAGGGCAGTGACAAAAAAAAACAAACAAACAACAAAAAAAAGTCAATACTGCTGTGAGTTCAAATAGAAGAAAACAATTTAAGTTTTTCACTAAGTTCTGAACAAAAATACAATCCTACAGAAATGGTCAGTACATCACAGAAAAGGAGAACTCTGAGAGAGAAAAGAACTTATCAATTTTAAGCTGTGTTTTAGAAATAACTAAAAAGTTTCCCAGGCAAAACATTTGGAAGAATAAGTAAATAAATAAATAAATAAATAAAGTCTGGTTATTTCTTTTGTGTAGCACAAGTGTCTTCATCTGATAGGGGTAACTAAGTCCTTTTTTAAATATTCCTTGCTTAGTCCTGGCCATTTCCATTTTGCCATGCTTCTACTTTTCAGCAGAACAAAGTAGGCATTCACATTTAGGGGCCTAGAGTCAATCATTGTTCCCCAAACCCACAAAAAGAAAATGATTGGGGGAAAAAAAAATACCATTTTAACGAGGGGAGGGGAACGACTCAAATGGCCTTTTAGACTTGGACACATGGACACTAAAAGTTACAAATTCCTGATTAGTAGTAAACTGAATATGAAAGAGAAAAGCTTCCGTGGAAAGAGTTAAGTGAGAAAAGGAAGAAAATGAACCATCAGTAAGATGGTAAAAAACAGCTTTCTCTCTGCACCACCTGAAGCATGCTTTCAGTCTGTATGACTAAGGTGCTATTTAAAAACAAATGCGTCTATTGAAAGAACACACAAAACCAACCTTTCTTCGTTTGTGGAGAGAGCTGAGGTCACTATTAAACACAATGCTAAGCGGCACTGAAAAAGAATTGAGTGTAAAACTTTAAGAAAAAGGATCCCTACATTGATAATTTACCTAAATCCACAGCAAAATCTATTGTGCCTACTAAAATGTACCATTAGTATTATTAACTATGCTGAGAAGATCGACCAGAAATAAATGTTGTGTTTTGTTTTGGGGACACACCCGGCAGTGCTCAGGGCGTTTTCCTGGCTCTGCACTCCTTGGCCACTGGTGAGGCAAGGCCCTAGCAGAACTATTTTATAAATAGCCAGACCCTTTCTATTCCTACCTTTTTCTCCCATTCTTTAAATATTAATGTAACTATCACTTAAGCGAAAAGTATTTTGTATAGATTTTATTTCCTAGTCATTTCAGATTGAGTGTACTAAAACAAACAAAAATGTGAATACTATTAAGTGCCTATTGCCTTAAAAATGACTTTTAGGAACCCCACGTGAATAATGCATTTTAGCCTCAAAGAGCTCCTACACGCCCCGCCCCCACTCAGCCTTTCCCAGCGCATTGAAGCTTCACTAGGGAGGAGTAATTACTGTAATTACCCACGTGACGAGCTTTCAACCCTGCCTTGCCTTCTTTTCTAACCAGCATTGCTTTCCTTACGTTCTGTCTCACTTTTTTTTTTAATGCATCTGTGGTCTTTGTCACATGGTCTGAGGAATGAGCCAAAAGAGGGCCCTACTCCTGGAGGGGGGCGCCTACGGATGCAATCACATAACGCGTCCTTCCCGAGGGGAGATGGGGGAGCCGTCAATAGGCCCGGGGAGGGATTTGGGGGTCTGTAGGTGAGGGTCTCCGCGCACCGGGCAGAAAAGGACAAAAGGCCTGCAGGCCTGGAGGCCTAGGCCGCGGTCTCGCCAGGAGGGCGGGGAGGAGGAGGGGAGGGCAGGGGGGAGGCGCGAGGGTGCTGGGGGAAATATGCGGGATGCTGGGGGAGTTGCGGGGGTGATGGGGGTGGGTGCGTGCAGAGATGCTCTGTGGGAAGGTGTGGGGATACTGGGGGGAGAGGCGGGGATGCAGGAGGGAAAGATGCGGGTATCCCGGGGGGGGGGTAGATGCGGGGATGTCGGGCGGAAAGATGCGGGGATGCTGGGGAAGATGCGGGGATGCTGGGGAAGATGCAGGGATGCTGGGGAAGATGCGGGGATGCTGGGGAAGATGCAGGGATGCTGGGGAAGATGCGGGGATGCTGGGGAAGATGCGGGGATGCTGGGGAAGATGCGGGGATGCTGGGGGAAGGCGTGGGGATGCTGGCGACTGCGGGAGGCGGAGAGGAGGTGCCGCCGGGCCAGGTGGGCCGGTGCGTCCGGGGCGGGCGGGCCGGGTGGGCCGGGCGCGGGCGGGCGGTACCTGCGCGGGCTGCAGCGCCCCTGCCCCCGGGTCCCGGGTCCACTGCTGCTCGCAGCCCAGCTGCTGGTAGCTGAGACAGTGCTTCACGGCCGAGGGCACGTTCCCCATGGCAGCACCTGCGGAGCCCCCGCACCTGCCGAGCCCTGCGCCGAGGAAGCCCCGCCGGGCCGCTCCCCGCCCCCAGCAGCGGGCGCTCCCTCCCGCGCCAGGCGCCCGGCAGTCGCCGTCTGTGCATTTCAAAGACTCGAGCCTGTAAGGCAAACACGTAGGTGCCGAGCAAAAGAGCCCTTGCCACTGAGAAGCCCCCGCGACAGAGGCCTGGGGTTTGGGAGAGTAGGAGCTCCAAGAGAGAGCAAATAGTGTTTGGTGCTCTGCGGTTAGGAAACAGAATGCTTCACAAGCAACCTCCCGGCTTGTTGGCTAACTAGGGATGATCTTAGAAAACGTCATATGCCAATTCACCAAAGCCAATGTAGTTTTAACTGAAATAGAGATGTAAAGATGTTGGTCAGCTTTTAATTTATTTAGGAAATGCTATAACTTCAAAGATTTTAAATACAAACGCTATGACATGTAGATATGCAAATATAGTTATATATATATATTTGTGTACGCCAGAACTATTAGTCATAATAAGACCAAAAACATTACAGGTGTTTAATTTTTTCATCCAATGAAAGGACTAGAACTAGGTGCACTTTTGCTGAAAAGAAAGTACAATTTTTTTTTTATTAGTGAAACACCATGAGGTACAGTTGTAGGCTTACAAGTTGTTGTGCTTGGGTTTCAGTTATGCAATGATCGAGTACCCATCCCAGCACCAGTGTCCATTCTCCACCCCCACCAATCCCAGTATCCCTCCCATCCCCACCCCCATTCCCCATCCCACCCTGCCTCTATGGCAGGGCACTCCCTTTTGTTCTATCTCTCCTTTTGGGTGCTGTGGTCTGCAGAAGAGACATTGGGTGGCAATCATGTTCGGTCCATGGACTACAAGAAAGCACAATTTGACCGTTAGCCTAATCTTGAATACTTAAATTTTATAAGTTGAAATACTATTCCTCTATATCTTTCCTGTTCATGATTAGAATGAAAATTCTCAATAGGTACCTTTATCATTACAAATCTAAAATGCTCTAAATGAAATGAAAATAGATCAGCAAACCCTGTGATAGTACATACGACTCTCACATATATTAGTTTAGGAAATTTAGACTCCATCTACAGAGCAAAAATATCATTTTAATAGTCATAAATCTTGTTATTGGCATATCCAGATTTGCACCAATAATATTCTCATTGCACCATAGGCCTAAGCCACTTGAATTTCAATCATGTAAATATAATAAAAATAATCATGTAAATATAAAGGTGTAAAATTTCACTGCAGGGCCTAGTCCAGTAAGTAAGGCACTTGCCTCGCATGGACCTGACAAGATTGAGTTCATGGAGACACCTGTGGTCTTCTGAGAAGTGGCCCATGAGCAGAGCCACAGGGAGCCCCTCAGCCATGCCTCCAACACCCAGCCCTGGGATCATTGCATACTGAGTGACTTTTAAGTCAAATTAAGTTACATGCAAAAACATACAAATTTTTGTGCCTGTCTTGAATTGTTCATGAGTTTTTTTTCATCTCCCTTCATCTCCCACCCTGAATGAAATCTAATCTGTTAACAGGTTTTGGCCATTTGAGCCCATTCACCATCACCCTTCTTCCATTCATTCCTCTCTGTGTCACTTTCCTTTCTTTGAAAGATAGCAACATAATGCAGAGTAGTAGAAATTTTATGCTTGTTTTATATCATCTGCAACCAGGAAGCAGGATCCATCAGTTATTAACCAAGTGACTTTGGGCAAGTCCTTAGCTTCTGCTCTCTTATATACAAGGTGTAATTAAATTTCTTATCTAATAAGTGTTGTTACAAAGATTGGATGAGCTAAAAAAAAGTGTTTAACACACACAGCCAGCATATAATAGGCATCCAAAACACAGCGATTATTACTACTATTTTCTACTTTATTTTTCATTCACCAATCTATACTGGAGCGATAGCACAGCGGGTAGGGCGTTCGCCTTACACGCGGCCAACATGGCCGACGCGAGTTCGATTCCTCCGCCCCTCTCGGAGAGCCCGGCAAGCTACCGAGAGTATTCGATATGCCAGACACAGTAACAACAAAGTCTCCAATGGAGACGTTACTGGGCCCGCTCGAGCAAATCGATGATCAACGGGAGGGCTTTTTTTTTTTTTTAATTAATACTATGAAGACTGAAAAACCTCTGAAATATTTATCTGGCCAACACTTCTAAGCTCGAAATTCTAATTTCCTTTGCAGAGAAATCATTTCTTTAAAATGACACACTCAATATTTTCCTGATGAGACACTCAGTTACGTTACCTTTCCAGGCTCAATTCTGCCCAATTTCTAAATTTGGTCTCTATTATAGAATTCTCTAATTATACACTTTCCAGTGTTTTAAGGCTTTCTGATGATTGTTCTATGATTTTAATCCTGATCCTTATTACAAAGTTTAGGAAAAACAGATGTCACTGAAATTACTCAACATTCTAATAGTAGAAATAATTACAATATCTTTAAAACTCAAGACATTATCTTCCAATTTAAAGAAAATACCAAAAAAAAGAGAGACAGTTTTAAGAAGTCATAAGAATTTCTTTAATGCCATTTCTTTATTTTAGTATCTGACTTATTTATACTCTTTCCAGGTTCATAAATTCTCCCAATTTTGTTCCAATATGATGTACTCAGCTATTGTTCTTCTTTCTACATAAATAATTTGATTCTCTTTTTTCCAGTTTCCCTCAGCCAATTAATGGTTAAGATTCCTTTAGATCCATTTCCTCACTGGGCATGTGAGATTCTAAGAAATTTCCCAAGATACCTTTTGGGTAACCAACCCTCTATATAATTCTATCCCTTTGGGTGTTCATTGAACCTATAAATAAGGGATCATCTTGCCCTGATTCTAGCAGATAATTTGACAAAGTTGATAAGACAATTCATTCCATGGTTACTTTACTTTAGGTTCATTAGGGGAAGCTAGAGTTGGGCTGGAGCGATAGCACAGCGGGTAGGGCGTTCGCCTTACAAGAGGCCAACATGGCCGACCCGAGTTCGATTCCTCCGCCCCTCTCGGAGAGCCCGGCAAGCTACCGAGAGTATTCGATATGCCAGACACAGTAACAACAAAGTCTCCAATGGAGACGTTACTGGGCCCGCTCGAGCAAATCGACGATCAACGGGAGGGCCTTTACCTTTACCTTTTTACCTTAGAGTTGAGACTTCTATACTATCTTACATAATTTTTTTTAAATGACAGTTTAAATAACATGGCTATAATGCTGTTCATGCTTAGGGTATTGATGTACAAAGTTACTTAACATTTGCAACACACACTTGCCCACGGCCTTCCACCACTGTCCCTGTGTCAGTACTAATCCTCTTCTTCATAGCTCCCAACTTCTCTCCCATTGCTTGATGATCTCAGTTTTATAATCCCAAACTAAAGGTTTGTCATCATTCTGTATTGTGTATTCCCCTATTTATCTCTCTAGACACAGATGAGTAAAATCATCTAGTATTTGTCCTTCTCACTCGGACCTTTCACTTACCATGTTACCCTCCAGTTTCATCCACGTTGCAGCAAAAAGCACTACATGATTTCATCTTTTCTTGGAGTTACATGGTATTTTATTATGTATATACATCACAGCTTCTTTATCCATTTTAGATTGTTTTCACATTCTTTCTATGTACTTCGTTCTGTAATGGACATAGGTATGCATGTATATTTTCAAACCAATCTTTTTGCATCAGAGATTAGAACACCAAGAAATGAAATTGCTCGGTCATATGAGAGCACAATTTGTCCTTGAGGAATCTCCATACATTTTTTCATAGAGTATGAACCAAATAACTAGTAACATCAGCAGTCAATGAGGGTTCTTTTTTCACCATATCCAGCCAACAATGGTTGTTTCCAGTCTTTTTTTTAATATAATAAATACTTGTCTATACAATTAATAAGCACCTGTCTGTGCTTTCTCTTTTTCTATTTTCATTCAGCAATGATTTAAATTTTTGAGAAAATGACACCAGTGATGATACAATATTGATTTATCACTTGTATCACTTGTCATCCCGTTGCTCATCGATTTGCTTGAACTGGCACCAGTAATGTCTCCATTCATCGCTGCTGCATGCTAGTGCAGCCCAATGATGTCTGCTCACTCCAGAAACACTAAAACCGTTCGTTCAGGGTTTTGACAAAGTGTTACCATCTCGTAGGTGGGGGGCTAACCTTTCTTTTGACATCCTGTGGAATCCAGTCGGTAACAGCTCTAGTCCAGCAGTCATCTCTAAATTGCATCACTTGTCTGGCCCATCTGATTTTCGATAGCTTGGCAAATGAGACATCATCCCTGATTCTTGATTGTCAGTGGAGGTCAGAACTCCAAACTCCTTCTCTCACTTGAGTAAAAAGTGATATTCCAAGCATAGCTCTTTCCATTCCTCTTTGGGAGACCCAAAGAGCTTCTTATCTTGTTTTCGTAGGGCCCAGATCTCTAAGGCGTATGTTAGTGCAGGAAGAACAGTGGAGTCAAAAAGATGTGCCCAGTGCCAGAAGATGTGACCATCTACTCTAGCACTTCTTCAACACTCTTGAAGGTGTTCCACGCTGCTCTCTTCATCCTGCGCAGTTCAGGAGCCAGGCCATTCATCATGTTGAGTTCTTCGACCTCGATGTCGTGGATATCTCTCTTCTTGTACAACAGAACGGTCCTGCTGGTTTTCCATTGGGACGGAACTTTGCATTCAGACAGGTAGTGTGTGAAAAGTTGAGCCAGTGTATTGACGAGTAGTGGTGGCAGATTCTTCAGGTGTTCGGGTCTGACTGGGTGCTGTGTGCTTCTTTACCGATGAAATGGCATGTTGGATTTCAGAAGGGAGAATGCTGAGAACAACATATCCATCCTGTGGAACTTGGTATGTGGGCAGGTAGACGTAGGTATCGAAGAGATTCAAGTAGAAGTCGTGGATAGCCTTTTCCACTGGCCTTCTAGAAGATGTGATAGATTCATCAGGATGTCCGAGGACAGTCATCTTGGTCTTGCAGTTGGTGAAGGACAGGTAGGTGTTGCGAATACTTTTCCTGGCTTCTGCCACATTGGCCAACA